AGACTGTAGTAGGTATGTGAGGGAGGGACGAAGGAACAAGGCCAATTCTGCCCATATAGGGTGGCACACCGGCAGTGAGACTTAAGCTGGGACCCGCGGGGCTGGGAGTGGCCTCCTCAGAGGATGCATAAGAGAACAACCCCGCTGCAGCAGCTGACGAACGAGACCATCTGCAGGGAACTCGAGAGTTGCTGGGCCGACAGAGACCGGCTTCAGGACGTTTATTATGAAAGATGGACTCAGCGTAAGTGGAATATGCACTGTGCTCTTATGGCGGTGCTGCCGGATCAGAAACAGGCTGGCTTGCTGTGGCAAATCTATCATCTGGCTATTCCGACAGCGCAATGGCTGGCTCTCAGAGGCTGCCATAAGGAGCAACAATGCGCTGCAGGATGTGGAGAGGTGGAGACCATACCCCAGCTTCTCATGCAATGCCCGGGAATCCGGACCTTCTGGACGTGGTGGGTGCAAATAGCAGAGCACACCCCGTTGGAAGTAGCAGAAGCAGATGAGGTGCTCATTCTCCTGGGAACCCTGATGAAGACCAATAGATTGCAGATGGAGAATCAGCTGGCAATGGAAATTCTGAGAGCAGCACTAATATGGACCATCTGGATCCCGAGAAACGAGCGATGCAGACAGGGCACGGCCCCCACCCTGCAGGCATATCAGGAACAAGCGATGGAAAATATTTGAGTGGCCATTCAGCCAGACTTCGTCAGTGTGACTGAGCAGGAGAAGGAAATTATCGCTTTTGGAATAGATGGAACTCCTATCCACAGCTGCTGGTACCAGACCCCCAGTCGGACCGAGTCTCGTTCGGGCCTCTGTTGCTGCGACGAACATGTCAAGCGGAGACTGATGTGTAATATAGAGGTTTGGAAGTTGGTGGGAATGGACGAGGATGGGATAGAATCAAGTTGTAGGGTAGGCACACAAAGAGACGGATGAGGATAGGATAGGAAGAAAGAAGGGGTGGGGGTACGAGTATGTGAGGGGAGGGGGACGGTGGGAAGGGAGACAAAGCTGTAATGAAAAAGCCGGGGTGCATACATAGACTTCAAGGAACCAAGGGAGCTCGTGAGTATTTGGGCATAGCCCAAGGTAGGGAGTGAGCACATAATGCGGGGCCAAGCATGAGGCATATGATATACTGTAGTTTGTAGTAGCAAAGTCGGCAATAGGGAACGTATCTGGATGTCAAGCAAACGGCAAGGAAACAGTGAGATAGTATCATTGAGTAGAAGGTAGGGACAATGACCGGGGGAATAGGTATTCAGTTAGAAATGGGACATCGACCGGCCGGTGAGGCTGCCAGGCGGCTCTCCCCCGCGCCCCGCTATTTACAAGATCCACATGCTGTGTGTCTGGGTGCTGCCAGTCAGCTTCCCGGCCGCCAAGTGCACCCTGCAAACGAGTCATGGTTCGGGGGGAGAGCGGCCGAAGCAACCTCCCCCTTGTGTAAGCGACTACCGGTAGAGCTGCAAGGGTGGCTGTATCTGACTCTTATCTGATCTAATCTTTCTTTTCCTCTTCAACTGCTTCTCATGTACGTTTGGCTTGCCGGTGATGAACAACTGGACTGATGCCCCGCAGAATAGATGGGGCTTTGTTTTGAAATTAACGCACACACAAAAAAAAAAAAAAGCCCGATGAATCTACACTTGTATTCGAACATGCGCTGGGATTCCTTGGGCCCGACCCGCCTGTCCCCAGCATTTTCCCAACATTGGCAGTCGGGCCTCGCGGGCGCGTCACGCGAGACCCTTCGTACAACCTCTTTTTTCTTCTTTTTTTTTTCTTTTTAAACCCGTCTTCTCCTCATCAGGGGACAGCTATATATATTTTTCTCTCACCTCACATTTTTTAACTGCTGTTCTGCCATGTCGTGGAACATATCCTTTTGATCTCTCACTACCTACCTACCACTACTCCTAAGGCTAGACCAGGGACCCCTGCAAGCATAGCTTTCTACCTCTCTTCGGTGAAGGGAGGTTACCGATCTTGGTGGAGGGAGGTAAGGGCATGTTTGCCCCTTTCCCCTAGCGTTTAGCGTGCAAGGTTGGGGCCGCCAGTGGGGGACCTGCTAACTTGAGGACCCGGCTTGCACTTTAGTAAGAGTACATAGAAGGGGGCCTGGCAAAAAAAAAAAAAAAAAAAAAGCAAGCCTGACAGAAGTTTAATGCATTCGATGGGACCAGACGGGACTGGTGCATTTAGACTTCAGGTTGGGAAAAGGGAAGTTCGAAAGATTTCAAACTTCAACATGTTTTGCAACAAATCCATACCGTCTTGCCCTCAGTAGAACGTACGGTCATCGTTGTAGCTGTGGAAACTTGCAGTCTAGACTCGGCTCTTCGCCACCTGGAGCGGTAGTACGTTCCAAGGGCTGGGCGAACACACCAAAAAAATGGCAGCTATTTGGGCGAAAATGGTAGTTTATTTCCCGCTGAGCCGCGCTGACCCATCGGCTCTCGCATGTCACTGTACTACAACGCACTGCATAGAGAGGCTGGGCCGTGGGGACTTCCACTTGCAGCGGTTGGTTGCATGGCCCAAAGAGATTGGCACCACAACGGGCCAAATCAGATTGTGCTGTGCTGTGCAAAATAATTTTCTGAAGTGCGGTGCAAGATGTGTTTGTCCCGTGCACAGAGCACAAAATAATCTCATGCCACGCACGGCAAGGAAGTTTGCCCAGTGGGAAGAAGGATTCTTCCCCATTATGCAATGCAAGTGCTTGGCTACCTCGCACCTCTCTTCAGCGCCGTCACGTGAGTGGCTTCAGAACTGTGCAGCCCATGAGGGGGCGAGGTGGAACGAGGCGCTGTTGAGCAGATCGGCCCTCATATACATGCGTGGTTGAGGGCCATCAACCACCCTCAACCACGCATGTGTGTGAGGGTCGATGCGCTCCACAGCGCTCATGAGCACGCGCACATGTCTACGGGCGCGCGCTAGAGAGAGAGAGAGAGAAGGGGGGGGGAGGGGCAGAGCTTGGGGAAGTTTGCGTATATGTTTCCAAAGCTTCAGTCAGTTGTGTCCAAATAAATTATGGTTTTTTAAGCGTAGAACAAGAAAAGTTTCGTTAACGAAGAACTAATTCTTTAGAGACATGATAGCAAGTCAATAAAGTGAAAACAAAACACATAAAAATCCACAAAAAATTGAAAAAAACGAATTCGAGCTTCATCGATAATCATTTTGAATACTGAATTCATTAACCGTAAATTGGCATACGTGAGTGAATGGATAGTACCCCAGTACTCAGAGAGAGAGAGAGGGAGAGAGGGAGAGGGGGAGGGGGGGGGAGAGAGAGAGAGAGAGAGAGAGAGAGAGAGAGAGAGAGAGTATGTATTGACGCATCCAGATGATTCCATAACAATGGCCAGCCACAGAGGGAGAAGTGGGGGGAGAGGGGAGACAGAGATGGAGAGAGAGAGAGAGATTGTGTCATATCTAGAGAGAGAGAGAGAGAGAGAGAGAGAGAGAGAGAGAGAGAGAGAGAGAGAGAGAGAGAGAGAGAGAGAGAGAGAGAGAGAGAGANGAGAGAGAGAGAGAGAGAGAGAGAGAGAGAGAGAGAGAGAGAGAGAGAGAGAGAGAGAGAGAGAGAGAGAGAGAGACAGACAGACAGACAGACAGAATGGAGTTCCCCTCCCTCCCCCTCTTCACTCTTGTTTCATCCCTTTTCTTTGCCACAGGTGAAGCCACAGCTGGAATCCGCTGGTCTGGGGGATAGCCCCTACCACTATTGTATCCCTCAGCATTTAAACCCATCATCATTTACCAACAGTTACAGGCGTGTACTATTCAGCCACGAGCCAGGTACACTACACAAGCTCATGGTCTTAGTTTCAGCCTTTCAGTTGAAATCCTGTGTTCAAGGGGATGATGCATGGGTGGGATGCCACAGCGGAGGCATTCGTGGGATGCATCAGTGGGATGCCCCCACCAAATTAATCGTTAGCGCACGCATTGTCTATGTTAGGTAACTTTTTAGGTGTATTGGCACCAAGCTGTTTGCCACTGTCCTCTCTTGTCGTTTGTCCATTTTTCATGCCCCTGCCGCATTTCGTTTTCACTCAAACACATGGATGCCTCTATTTTGTTTCCACAGGGGCGTCTTGCACATCTGTATGGCTTTCATTACTAGCTTGTATCAAGTTTAGAATGATATAAACTGGGGAAAAAAAAAAAAAAAAAAGGTATGATAAACTGGCATTGCCCCGCCTTGGTAGACTATCAATGCCACAAGGGTTGGGCTGTTCCCCTTTCCTGATCTGATTCCCCCCCCTTTCTATTCCGGATGAATCAAATCATATTTGATATGACCTTCGGAAAATCCATATTGGACGTACAAACATGCTTGCTGGTGATAAGTAACCGGGCTGCTGCCCCCCAGAATAGAAGGGGCTTTGTGTTTTGGGAAAAAAAAAAAAAAAAAAAAAAAAGCTGGCAACAGCCTTGACGTATCGTCATTGTACTGACCGGCCCCAGGTAATTCAGAATTATTTTATCTTGTTCATGTGGATTGCATGTGGATTCAAACTTGGGTCTGTAGTTCACCAGTTCATCGGTGTACCAACTGCGAAAGGCACGCTTCTGCTGCATGATTTCTTGGCCTCGCCGGATATGGTATGTGAAGGTGGCCAAGGCCGGTCGCTACTTATTGCGCGAGGTGGAAGGGGATGCGACCTCCATCTTGCCTTTGCAAACGCATGCCTATGACGATGGGTGTTATCACTACAACAGTTTGTCACAGCCCCTCGTTTGTTGTCCTCTTCTCCTTCTCTCTCTGCCTACGGTTTACCGGGCAGCTCTGTATTGCTATATATAGCAATAGCTATTTGGCGGCCTGTGACCATATAGGGGGAAAAAAAACAAGTAGAGGCATGCCTATGAGGGTGGTTTTTTTTCTTTTTCTTTGTGTGTGTGTGTGTGTGTAACAACTTGACAATCCATGTGTGTATGTTTTTCATGCCTCTACATGGACCCGACAGGTGCTGCACGGTCTGTTGCTTTGATCGATGTAAACGGAAGGGAAGGAAGCTCATTTCTTATTGCAAGTGGTGGAAGGGGAGGGGACCTAGACGTCCATGATCTTCGCTACATGTTCAGTGGTGCTATGAAAGGGTCCAGAATGAAGGGTGCAAATGGATCTCTGTGGCATATTCCCAAGGCACATACAGGTAATAGAGACAAGTTGTGTGTGCGTTTGTAGATTCCCCTTTGTAGATGATGTTGAATGTGCGTGCATGCGCATCTCTCTCTCTCTCTCTCTCTCTCTCTCTCTCTCTCTCTCTCTCTCTCTCTCTCTCTCTCTCTCTCTCTCTCTCTCTGTGTGTGTGTGTCTGTATGTGTGTGTGTGTGTGTGAGTGCACAGCCCAACCTTCTTCCCCCGAACATAACGCATATGTGGTGTATTCGAGTTTTCAAATATGAAATTGAACAAACAATTGAATGGAACGCATATCCATTGTAGTCAACATTTAGGGCTATTCGAATAGAACGCATATGTGCATTGTATTCAAAAAGAACGCACCCTATGCGTTGTATATTCGTTTACAACGCGTATGCGTTATGTTCAGGGGAAGAAGGTCGCTCTACGTGTACCTGGCATCGGAGCGATGATGGACCTATCGCGCGCAGCATTCTGTGGTTGCAAGTACTGGCACAAGTTTGGTAGCTCGGTCCCCGATCTGGGGGAATGAAAACAAGTCCCAAGTCTTTGTCCCCGAGAGGCACCAAGGAAGCATGATTATCGAACTTAGAGCAGAAAGGTGACCGGATAGATGCGTTGAGTCCGCCTGGACTGATCTTATGGACGAAATTCCCGAACTAAGCGTGATCAACCTACAGCAAAATGTTGATAAGCTAGCTGTGTCCCGTGGGAGAGGGCACAACCGAGAGATGAAAACTTGGGAATCGAGATAGCGAACAGCTCCTCGACGAACGAATTAAGTGAGTTGATGCATGATTCAGAATGAAGCAACGGTGCAATGATTGAACAGTGGCCATGGTGGCAGCCTCAGATGGAGCCAGTGGAGGTGACCATTTTTTTTTTTTTTTTTCGGGACCTCCTGGTTGTGGCCAGTGGAGGTGTCTAAGCTCAAATGTGAGAGAGCTTTTTTTGCACTCAGTTGCTGGTCTGTGTAGCAGGGGGGGACTGACTACCAGGCGTTGAAAGTGGTGGCGTCGAATCTGATTGACCAGGCGCCAAACTGGTAGGCCGAAAATTTTTTGCACTGTTTTGCCTCCGGCAAGTAGTGGCGCTGATTGCCCGAGTCCGATACCGTTGAGCGTCAATGGCTAGGACACCGAAAGTCAATCAGACCTGAAAAAGACAGAGGTTTGTTCCAAAAGGAGAGAGTTGTCCGGCACCGTGCACTGTGGGGTGGCTATGGCAGAGTGAGGGAGATGTAGGGGATGGTGGATGCCAACATTGCCGAGGAGTCAGTAGCCGAAATCTGCTGAGTGTTAAACCACCAGTACTTCCCTAAAGTCGTGTCCGTTAACGCTACGCGATTTTAGGAAACGTACGGGCCACTACAGGAGCGCCCAAATTCATCCAACTAGAAACGTTTCTACTCTACTTTTTTCCGCGGCCGATAGCTGGGCCAAGTACTGGTGGTTTAACGTCACGTATGCCGAGGGTCGGAGGAGGTAGAAGTCCGAACCACTGGTTTGAGCCAAGATTACGATGGGAACTGCTATGCATTTCCTCAGCACAAGTCCTATTGGATAAACAGCCAACAAAATGGATGGTAGTCCTAGCAGCATTGCAACTTATCGATTCAGAGACCAGGTCAACGTTTAAACCACTGGTTTTGAAGTTTAAACCACTGGTTTTGAAGTTTAAACCACTGGTTTGAAGTTTAAACCACTGGTTTGGAGTTTGGAATTTGGAGTTTGGAGTTTGGACCAAGATTGGGATGCTCAGTGAAGGGTCAGCCAGTCGTTCACAGTGGACGTGTAGCCGGGTGTGAACAGAAGAATAACTATGGCTTTGAGTGGGTGGCGTTCGTGCCAAGAGCAAAGCTTGAGGGACAGATGTTTGAAAGTGCCGCTGATACGAGGAATCGAAAACGCTCCCCGGCTATATACATAAGGAAACCCACTGCTACCGACCACAGCGTAAGGAAATTCCACTGTGTCAGGCACGCCACAAAGATTACTCAGGTTGGAGAGGCGTGTAATGGGCGACCGGCCACCATCTCGCACGGTTCGGAGAGCACTTGTTACGGCTGGATAGAATGTTTTACTACGGGGTCTATCAGTTAATTAACTTTAATATCTTTAATTCTTGACTTTTTTTTTTCGCTTTTTTTTTTTGTTATGGAGAAAAACAAGGGTTCATGTCGAACGTTGTCCTTCGGGACATCCGTTAAAATTTGAACGATACAAAGAAGATTAGCATGGCCCCTGCGCAAGGATGACACGCATACATCGAGAAATGGTCCAAATTAAAATAAAATAAAAATAAAAAAAGGGTTCATGACACTTCATGTCGAACGTAGCATGGGAAACAATATATGTAAAACTGGGGACCGGGGTGGGCTAGGGATTCTTGACCCCCAAACAATATATGTAAAACTGGGGCCCAGGGTGGGCTAGGGATCGTTATGGAAGCTAATTTGGAATTCAAGAACTGACCGGATCGTTAGGAACCTGGCTCCTTGCTACGTCCGGATGCAGAGGAAGAATACCTGGCTCCTTGCTACGTCCGGATGCAGACGAAGAATAAAACGCACGAAAGAATGGCTATCACAGCCAACCGGAGGCGATGCAAAACAGGGAGCAGAAAAGGTCTGATGTGGTTCTTGCAGACATGGGCAAAGGGCAACCAACTTGCGGTGGTTGCTTTGCAGGGGGACCTGACAATCTTTTTTTTTTTTTAATTTTAAAACACGCCCCCACCAGTGTTAGTGCTGCTGATAAGAGCAATGGACCTGACAATCTCACCGTGGTCGATATCATGATAGTAACAGATTTAGGAAGCCAGGAAAAGAGGTGGTGGTGGACCCCACAAGTAGGGGCACAGGGAGTTTCCTATGTTATTAGGCAGGATCTGATTGCTTATGAAGATGGGCCCACAACTAAAATGAAGCGAAGATGGGGTACTGCTCGGAGTACATATCGTCTGTATGTACTATGTAGGTTTTTTTTTTTTTTTTTTTTTTTTTTTTTTTTTTTTTTTTTTTTTTTTTTTNAAAAAAAAAAAAAAAAAAAAATTTGCTCCGCTCACTGCAACGGTGCAACCCTCTAATCGCAAACAAGAGAAAGAGGACAATCTATAATTATTAATTCCCCCCTGTCTGTGATCCTCTCCCAGCCCATCTTTCATTTCACACTCTCTCTTACTTTCAAGAAGTTTCAACATGCCGTGTGTCATTTTATCTGTACCTCTGGGCCTCATCCCTCCTCCGTGCAAGCACGGCTTCGAACCGGCTACCTCTGCCTCAAGAGCCAAGTATTGTAACCTCTACACCCAGGACAGGACACGGTGTTAAAAAACGGAACCCAAAAAAAAAAAAAAAAAAAAAAAAAAAAAAAAAAAAAAAAAAAAAAAAAGAAAAAAAAAAAAAAAGAGGGGGGGGGGGAAGGGGGGGAGAAGGGGGGGGGGGGGGGGGGGGGGGGGGGGGGGGGGGGGGGGGGGGGGGGGGGAGAGGGGAAGAGAGAAAGGGAGGGGGGGGGGAAGAGAGAGAGAGAGAGAGAGAGAGAGAGAGAGAGAGAGAGAGAGAGAGAGAGTGAGGGAGGAAGAGATGGCGAGAGGGACACGGCAGAGAAATTCCAGTGGGGTAGTGATCTTCGCGCGCACTTTCTTTTTTCAAGGAGGCACGACTGTCCTCACTAAAAGTCCCCCCTAGATGATTCGAAATGCTAAAATGCTAAAAGGAAAAAGGAAAAAGAGAGAAGAAAGAAGAAAGAAGGTGACGAAATATTTTTGATGATTCACAAGTATTCAACGAAAAAAGAGAGGAAATAAAGATGACGATGAAATACTGATTGTGTGATATATATTGCGTACTACATCCCTTTTTGTAGCACATTTGTGAGCGCACCTCGACTAGTTCTTTCTCCTTTTTTTTTTTTGTTTTCCTTTTTTTGTTTTCCTGTTTTTTTTAATTTCTTTAAACACAAGCTTCCTGTTTTTTTTAATTTCTTTAAACACAAGCTCCCCCCCCTCATGTTTCATATTTCCCGCGTGCATTCGTTGTCGACGTCAACATCAAATCTGGATCAGCTCTGCGTCGGAATCAAGATGGTGGTGTGACTTGTTTGATGTACTTTACCGTCTTCACCCGAATAGAGCACCCTGTCATTTTATCTGTATTTGGGAACGACTTTCCGTCTAGGTGCAGCGATAGCTCCCCCTGCCGCGTTCGATTCGGTTGAAGACAGTAGAAGTCAAGAACGTGCCGACATTGGTTTCACCGCGGGGTTGATTTCTGTTTCCGTTTTTGTTTTCCTTTTTTTTTTTTTTTAAATTTCTTTAAACACAAGGCCCCCTCAAAAAACAACCGAAGTAATCATCACCATCATCGAGAATTACTGCGGTTATTTTCGTCGCGGTTATTTTCCTCGCCACCCTACAACCTTCACCTTTCATCATCAGCTTAGCTTTTTTTTTTCCATCTTCATTATCTTCCCTTGAAACAAGCTTTTTTTTTTGTTCTTTATCTCTGTTCCACACAATAGATGACGTTCAAAATATAGCTCCACTAGTATTCTCTTCCTTTCCTCTCTCACTGTGTCTCTCTCTCTCAATATGCAGACACGCACACACACACACACACCTGTCTCTTATACACATCTAGATGTGTATAAGAGACAGACATAAGGGCTGTTGGACCTCTTTTCCAGCTATGAATACAATCGCCTCGACTTTTTTTTCTTTCAGACGACAAAGAAAAGATGAAGGTGTTTTGGGGGTTTCTTACTGGTAGTGCTGCTCTGCCCCTCCTGTTTGTGTGGGTGGGTGGGTGGGTGGGTGGGTGGGTGGGTTGTGGGGGGAGGCGCGGGGGGATGTGAACACTTGCAGCGAGTATAACAAGTCTTGCAGCAATCCCTGGGACATCACTGTTCTTAACAGGCAGCAAGGATGGTGACGTGAAGCTTTGGGATGCAACCAATTGTCGGCAATTGATTTGCTGGCAAAGAGTATGTGACAGGCGAACATTTATTAATGCTCGTGGCTTCGGAACTGTCATGAAGGTACGGGACGACTGTGTGCCCTTTGAAGTAGCTGTCTAAGAAGATGGATGATGAAAATACAGTAATGCTGCTAATGTACTGTTTGCATAACGTCTCGTATGGGGAGGCTTGTGATGAAAGGAGCAAAAGAGAGAGGCATCGGAGAGCGTCCCGGGCTGGCATTGGTATTTACAATTTACAATGCTGAACAGATTCACAGGGAGAAGCGAAGGATAAGAGGAGGGGATGGAACAGGAGTGGTGGAGGCGAAGGTGGAGAAGACAGAAAAGTTAAACAATTCCACCATGTGATCAATGATCTACCTGCCAATCACCATTGCACGGAATCCACACACACAGAGACAGAGAGAGAGAGAGAGAGAGAGAGAGAGAGAGAGAGAGAGAGAGAGAGAGAGAGAGAGAGAGAGGCAGGCAGGCAGGCAGGCACCGAGCGAGCGAGTGAGAGAGAGAGAGAGAGAGAGAGAGAGAGAGAGAGAGAGAGAGAGAGAGAGAGAGAGTTGTAAGAGAGCAACAATCCTTGTTGGGGGTAAGTTCCGACCCATGTGAAATGCATGCGGTTTCGGCAGTCTCAGAGAGACGATCGGTGAACAAGACATGTCTATAACATGTGCGCTACCTGCACCAGAACAGCATACAACTCTGTTTCATCAAGCGGTGAACGAGCTCAGTGCAGTAAACCCCGATGTGTCACAATAACCGGAGAACTCTTGTTTACCGTTTGAAGGAACTGAGCTGTCAGGTTATTGTGACATAATAGACCTCCTTTCTTTAAGGGGACCCCCCTTGATTGGCATGTCACCTGAGTCGGGGGTGTATGATGTGGCTACCAAACCACTTGCAATTCACACAGCTACGTAGAGACAGAGAGAGCCATACACTCGAACTCCTGGTATGTTTGCTTTATTTCTTGGTGGCAGGATTTGGGTGACCGGCTTCCGGATCTTTCGGATTCGCATGGTTTGGCCGCCGTACGGACGGCGTTCTGAGCAAAGAGTCGGCGAACATGTCTGAAGACCGTGAACGCATTTGTCTGTCTGTCCGCTGACAGGAGAGCAGACTGTTTGCCGACTCTTTGCCACCAAGACCTGTCCAGATGGGGCTCGCGTGCTGATCGGAGCCACCAGTGTGCGAGAATTGCTGCGAGAATTACCACTGCTGTCTGACGAGATCGATGATGACGAGTTTCCCCGCTCGACTACTCTCGAAATGTGCAAAACGAAAGTGAATCTTCTGATAGAACATGCAAAGATACACCGCCAGGATTTTTGTCTTTTGTGCATGTCGAGAGTAGTGGAGCGAGGACCTGTGTCGCTTGCCACCACTGGTCTGACGAGATCAATGGTGACGAGTTTGTGTGAAAAAAAAAAAAAGAGACCGGCTCCACTACTCCCATGAGCCACGGCAAGTCACTTATCTACTGACACCTCGGTGAAATTGACTGTTTCTGTTGTTGCAGGCTGCCGTCATGGATGTTCTACCGACGCCACGTGGGTTTCTCACCTGTGGTGCTGATGGGCTTGTCAAGTTGTTCCCTTACCATTCATTCAGCCGAGGGGCGTGGGTCTGAGTCGGGGTAGTCGCGAGAACAGCTCGCCAACGAACCGTCTCGCCGTCTGCAAAAGGAGTGATGACGGAAATCAATCTCTTGCAGGTGAACGCACAAAAGATTGTAGATACCGTGGAGACGTCGACTCGCGCGACAGCGAATTCAAGACGGAGACGAGGAGATAATAACAATGCGGCATGCTAGGGGAGTAGAACAGAGGTTGATGGACATCGATTTTGATGTCGGTTCTGACATCCAACGTCAGACATCTTGTGTAAAGACAGTTGGCCGGTGTGTGCATCCGGCTTCTTCACCATTCTCATGTGTCTCTGTCGTCTTCGACGCGCTCATGTGCAGATGTATGGGGTCGACAAGGTGAGTTGGTTATTTGTCTGAGGGGCGCAATGTCTCTTCCTTTTCTTGTATGTGTGTGTGTGAGGTGGGATGGGGTGGAGGGGAGGGGGAGGAGGAAGAAGGGGGGGGGCAGGAGCAGAGGGGGGGGAATAATAGTGGCAACATCTCATTGTCGGCATCACTTGTCAGATGGTTTGTGTGCAAACACTTCCAGAAGGTGTAATCGTGTAGGCCCTTTAGGGTTCTAAGGTTTTAGGGGTTTAGGGTTCTAATTTTTTTGGGTTTTAGGGTTTTAGGGTTTTAAGGTTTTAGAATGTGTGACAATATCTATATATCGGTGAAACTGCAACGAAACGGTTTGTCACATCCCCTCGTTTGTTGTCCGTTTTCTCCCTCTCTGCCTTCGGTTTACCTGGCTGCTTCGTTTGACGATATATATGTGTGTGTGTGTGTGTGTGTGTGTGTGTGTGCGTGTGTGTGTGTGTGTGTGTGTGTGTGTGTGTGCGTGTGTGTGTGCGTGTGTGTGAAAGAAACGCCACCATGTAGGCCACCTACAGTGGCGTGGAGGACGGCAGCGAGAGTCATCCATCATGCCCCATGCGCCCCGGTTGCTTCGCCGCCACAAATCAAGGTCTAAGGTTCAGAAATTTTGACATTATGTTGTGGACACTGGACATCATTTTGTCTCTGTCTCTTCCGCAGATTATGGTCACTGGAGCTTAGCACTTGGAAGTTATTGATTAATTCCACGCTTTGGCCAAAATGATCTGTTCTATGTTAAACAACGTAAACCTCAATGCCTTGTCTCTATTCCAGCAGCAGCCCGCCCTCATTGCCCTTGCGTCATCTGATCGTGATGCGATGTCCCGGGATTGCCGTGCGTGAACGATGAGTGATTGGCGCTGCTCGCTTGGATCGACATATGGATCACAAAGCCAGCATCGTGTTTTGTTTCTTCACGCCGATTCGTCACCTATATTCCAGCAGCAACCCTCCCTCGTACGTCTTGCGTCATCCGATCGTCATGCTATGTCCTGGGATTGCTGTGCGTGAACGATGATCGATTGGCGCTGCTCACTTGGTCCCACGTATGGAGGACAAAGCCAGCATCGCTTTTTGTTTCCTTCTTTCTTTATTTTCTTGAAAACGAAGCCAGCATCGCCGTTGTCATTTAAATTGATTTAATCGTATCGCTCGGTGTAGGCTGTCGAAAGCCAACGGACTCAATGGGACAGGATTTGAACTTTGGAGCTGTCCATTCTCTTTTTCTTTTTTTTTTTTCTTTTTTTTTTTTCTTTTTTTTTTTTGTTTCGTTTTTCCGTTGACCCTTCTCATGTGAAAACGCCTACATGTCGGTCCGTACCTGCCTTGTAGAACAGCTAGCAAGGGGACTGAAGAAGGAGACAGGGAGACGATAGGTTGAGGCGTCGATGATTACGCAATTATGCAATTACTGAGCGGTAATCAGTAATAATTTACTAATTAGTAATTACTGGTTTTTTTTTTGTTTTGTTTTTTTTCATTAGTGCACACTGTGCAGTTTGTAGAAGAGATCGGCATCAATCACATGCTTCAGTCACGAGCTGAGCTAGCTCTCCGTTCTCTGTTCATTACCCGGCGCGCAGCTGGCACGCTTTCTGTGGAGATCAGCCTGCATTGGTATCCATCATACGACAGCGAGTTGCGCTGCGTTCAATCTCCATTGCCAAGGAGAGCTGATTTTTTTTTTTTTTTTTTTTGCCAATCCAAGTCTCTATCCAACCCCTTCCCACTTTCAATTGATTGAATTTTCTTTTTTCCTGTTTAATTTGGTCGAGTTCTTTGAACAGAACATGTCTACCGCATTCCTTGTGTAGACACGCATCTAGCTCTGGAAGATCCTTTTCTGAAGTTGTATTTTGACTTTTTCTGATTTTTCATTTGTCTTGTTTTTTTTTTTTTTTTTTTTAACTCTCCTCTGACTCCTCACAATTTGCAGCGGCCACATTGAGTGGACGATTGAAAATTGGAAAATGTGATTGTAATTGTTTTCGCAGGGGTGCATTTTTATTTAACTTAATGGATGAGAATCCTCCTTAACAGAGAGGAGATGGGTGTGTTGGGGTGTTGGGGGTGGGGGTGGGGGGAGGGGCGCGGACCTCGATGTTTTCTTTTTCTCTGTGTTTTTGTTTTTTGGTCCTGTGATCCATTGGGGTTTGTGGATTTGGCGGGGGGGAGGGGGTTAAGAGGCCAGGAAATTTGGCTCCTTTCTGAGTGGCGACTCTGTTCTTCTCTATGGCCAGAATGATCACGTATATAATAAGCTAATCAGTCATTTCATAAATGAATTAAAATAATCAGAGGTATTCAATATGAAATATTTAAACATGAAAAATAAAACTTATTGCTTGCACTACAAAGGGGTGTGTGGTGTTGTAGGCGTGTTGTCGGTTTTGTTCCGGTTTTAATGCCTCTGACAATTTCGGAGCATGGGAGACGTTCGATAGTGATGCCAGATCAGCAGCGTGTTTTGAGGTGCCGATTTTTGCCTGTGTTTCATTTTGTTTTTCTTGCAAGGGCGGTGGGAGTCTTGTGTTGGAAAGCCAACGTGGCGTGCGTTTCTTATAGGATTCTTGAATCGCAGCACCACCACGCATGCTTTTTTCGACTGCAGCGGCAAGAAAACCGGAAGGGAGAAGTTATAAAACCTCCCCGCGATGAAAATGTTGAAAAAGTCATTTTGGGGCCTGTGACACTCTTTGCCCCGTTTGGGGGGAAATGAATAAAAAGGTTCCGCCGCGGGGGGCTTTTATAACTTTTCCAAAATTGGAGACAGAATTGCACGCATGGCTCTTACCTGGCGGCAGGGCAAAAGGTTGTGTGGCGGTCGGGCATCCACACACACAAACACACACCATTGTCGAAGGCCGGTTCGAACCCAGACACAGATCTTGAGCTACCAACTCACCAGTGGTTGGAGCTGGGGTTTGAACTATATATTATTCATTACTTATGAATTTCATTATTGATATTGGATTACTAATACAATAAATTGAATCCAATATCAATAATAAAAAAGAGATTCTATCAAGAATGTATTCAATGTAATAATCTGATGTCTAATGATGATCTTCGATTGATTCTCCAATATATGCAGATGCTAAAGTAGCAAAAACGAGTGCTTGTATGGCACTTGTAAAGAGTCCTAACCAGGCACAGATCTTGAGGTACCAAGTTACCGATGGGTTGATTACTGAGGTAGACTGGGTTCCTGTCTAACTCAGGTAAGGCTCCTTTTTTTTTTTTAACTAAGCTATATTTTTCTCTCAATCTATCTATGTACTCGTCTTTTTCATCTATCTCATCCTCTTGCTACCATCTTCACCCGGAAATAAAGCCCTGTTGTTGTATACAAATATAACGGCAGCCGGGTGGTTATATTCATTTATAACGCCCGGGCGTTGTATTCGGTAAATCGTTGCAAATCCGGTGGGGCCCCACAGTTGCGAAAAAAAAAAAATCAAAAAATTCTGTAAAACAAAATGTGTTGTCCAGAATTGCAATGCGAACAACTTTTTGCTGAGCGTCACTTTAGAATTCCTTATAAACTCGGGGGGACAAAAATAAAATACCAAAAATCAAACCAAAATATGTACCCCTTGGAAGTCGAAACCCTTTTAAACCCCCTCTAAAGCCCATGTATACCCCCCTCCCTGCCCGTTAAAACCCATGTATACTACCTCTACAAGGTGCTCTGCCCATGGAACATTCAAATATAACGCATCTGTCGCATCCTCTCGCTACCGTCTTCACCCGAAAATAAAACCCTGGTGTTGTATACAAATATAACGCAAGCCGGGTGTTATATTCGTTTATAATGCCTGGGCGTTATGTTCAGTAAATTGGTGGCAAATTCGGTGGGGCCCCGAAGGTGCAAAACATCAAAAAAATAAAAAGTTATGTAAAACAAAATATATTGTTCGGAATTGCAATGCAACCAACTTTTGGCTGAGGGTCAACAGAATTCCGTATAAACACGGAAATAAAATGTAAAAACAAAAAATCAAACCAAAATATATACCCCTTGGAAGTTGAAACCCCTTTTAACCCCCTTTAAAGCCCATGTACACCCCCCTCCCCGCCCTTCAAAACCCATGTATACTACCTCCACAAGGCACTTGGCCCATGGAACATTCAAATATAATGCGTGGGCATTATATTTAAAGGGGCATTCTATTTGAAAAAAACTTCTAAAAAGTGAGTAAAAACAAAAATCTGATCCTTTTAGGGTAAGTTGACTATAATGTCCGGGCGTTATTTTCGGGTGAAGATGGTAGTTTATGTATGTATAGTGGAACACCAACCAACCCGGATCTCTTTCCAGCCCACGGGGTAGGTTTGCACCACAAGAGTGGTGCGAGATCAACGCTGTACCAGCCCCTCATCACGGTGATGCGGGGTGGGCAGGCATTGCTGACGGCGGAAACCATCGGTGCTATTGCCAAGCACTATGGCCAGTCACTGCACCTCCCCCTACCCCTCCCCCCCAAAAAAAAACACATTAGCGGTGTCTAATGGCCAATATAGCTACATATCAACCAATGACTGGGGAGCAGCAGTCCAGTTCCTTTTCAAGCGGCAAGTCAAACACACACCCCTCCCCATTATGGCTAACAGGCTTGACAATACTGAAAAGACCATAAACTATGGGAGTGTATCTTTCCATGTTTTAGCGGAAAATTCATTCTACATCTGGATTCCAGCTTGGGGCCACCTCAAGAAAGAAAACGATCAAAAATAAAGATCAAATATCACGATGGTGTATCTTTTCATGTTCTAGCGGAGAATTCATTATGCATTTGGATTCCAGCTTCGGGCCAGCAAGAGAAGAAAAACGACAAAAAAAATAGGCTACCTGCCGGGCCGCCGGGGCACCCTGTTTTCTAGGACGGCCCAGCCGTGCAAGGACCAGGAAGGTCCCAAAAAAAAAAAAAAAAAAAATCCGAAAACATTTTACAAAAAAAACTATGTTATGCAAAAAAACAAACTGAACAACTTTTGCCTTAGGGTCATATCGAAATTCTTTACCACATTTAAAATAAAAAAATAATTTTTAAATTTTATTTTTTTCATACAATGCAATTTTCTATTTTTAGTCATGTAAAAAGTAAGGTAACGAAATTACCTCAAGCAAAACTAATGTTCAACTTAAAAAACATCATCTGGGAGATATTATGTACAAATCCTTTTTTGAAACAACAAACATTAGCATCAGACAATGGAACCTTCAAAATTTTATTTGATTTATCAACACCTGTTGATAGTTCTTTGTTGCAATGCATGAAAGTGATTAGAGTTTTTACAATTGCCTCGGCAGTTTGAAATAATCATTTTAATATAAAAGAAGGAGTACATTGATGCATGTAACTCTTAAAGCTTTTTTTATCAATATATCTCAAATGAAGAAAGAAACTTTTTGATATCCTACCTATATATGGGCTTTAGAAAATGGTAAATTTTCAATAATAAGTTAATTCCCCAAAAAATTACGGAGGTGTGGTGGTTAATATCTCAAATAATGTGACGAAATATTATATTGCCGTTTGAAATGGAGGCATCTTTGAGAAAATGATTGATAAGGGGATCCTCTCGTTGCAATGGAAAAATAAAATAAAAGAAAATAAATATGATAAACAATCGTTTATTACTCTCTTTATTATTAGTTTCAAAAAGGCGTCTGCTGGACGAAATTCCACAGGTCGTATCACCCTTTTCCATAGAGGCTCCCACGCAAAACGATTGCAGCGAAGAATTGACTTTCAACGTAACACTTCGTTGACGGGTAAGGTAGAAAGAATCGAATATGATCCAAATCGTTCCACAAGATGTTTTTAGAAAYTTTTATTAATAGGTTGAAAGGTCTTATTTGTTGTGGACCTTAAATAGACCGACCCTACAGAACGGGAACTGATTGAGGACAACAACATTAAATCAAATAAATATTATGATGCATGTAACTCTTTAAGTTTTTTTTATCAATATATCTCAAATGAAGAAAGTAACTTTTTGATATCCTACTTATATATGGGCTTTAGAAAATGGTAAATTTTCAATAATAAGTTAATTCCCCAAAAAACTACGGAGGTGTTGTGGTTAATATTTCAAATAATGTGACGAAATATTATATTGTCGTTTGAAATGGAGGCATCTTTGAGAAAATGATTGATAATGGGATCCTCTCGCTACAATGGAAAAATAAAATAAATATGATAAGCTATCGTTTATTATTCTCTTTTTTATAGTATACAAGATATTTTTAGAATTTTTTATTAATAGGTTGAATAGTCTTATTTGTTGTAGACCTTAAATAGACCGACCCTACAGAACGGGAACTGATTGAGGACAACAACATCAAATCAAATAAATATTATGAACTATCGTCAATTATTTTTTTTATAGAAAATATTTTAAAAAATTTTCACTAATAGGTTGAACGATCTTATTAGTTGTAGACCTTAAATAAACCGACTTTATGAAACAGGAAGTGATTGAGGACAATAGTTTATTAGTCAGTGAGATTCTAAAAATAGTAAGATAAGATCAACACAGTGCGATATTGATATTTTAATTTGGAAAACTTATAATAATATCAATTTAAAATTCGGCGATTG